AGGGCGCCCCCGAGGAGCCCCGACCCCGCCGAGGGCAGAGCCGGGGAGCACGGCTCCCCCAGACGGCGCGGCTCGGCCCGGACCGCGCTGGGGAGGATGCTCGACCCCTTGTGGAAGTGAGGGGGCCACCTCCTGGCGCTCGCACGCTGACCACCGACATCCGCAGCAGCGGCGGGGAGGCTGCGGTGAGCAGGGTGTGCTAAAGGTTCCGGGGACCCCTGCTGCGAAGTCAGCCTGGGTGTGCGTGTACCCACCTCGCGCACAGCTGGACCCCTGCTCGGCTCCTTCCCTCGGAACACAGGTCCGCGAGAGATGCAGAAGATGATGCTCCTATGTAATAAGTGCAAAACAAATTTCTGGCCAGTTTTTATACATCAAAGACTTGACTTTTATTTTGTTTTGTTTTGTTTTGTTTGTGTGAGACAGGGTCTCACTATGTAGCCAGTTCAGGCTGGCCTTGAACTCACTATGTAGCCCAGGCTGGCTTGAACTCCTGGTGATCCTCCTGCCTCAGCCTCCTGAGTGAGTGCTGGGATTACAGGCACGTGCCACCATGCCCGGCCAACAACTTATTTTTTAATACTGTATTGTGAAAATAAAATGTTGTTTTATTCGGTTCCTTTAGCAAAATGAAATGGCTCCCGGGCAGAGATTATCCTTGTTACGAAGGTTATTTGTCTCTTCCCAAGTTCCCTGGCATCAGGGTCCCACCTACCCGCACTCCGGGGCAGCTGGCCTCTCCTCAGGCCCTTGGGTGTGCTGGATGGGCACCCAGTCCTTGAGTGACTGGGTGAGGGTTTGTGTGGGAACGGAGGGGACGTCAGACTCAAGTGGACAAGAGCAGACACCCTTGTGTGTTCACGGGTGCCGTGGGTGTGAGCCTAGCGGTGGGGTGAGGGGTGCAGCTGTGGGGATCCTACTCTGCAAATGTGTGCGAGGTTGCCCCAAATCTAGAGATGCCCAAGCGCGCCCTTCCTGTTCTGTCTCCACCTCTGATGAGGGCTGCTCTGACGCCTGTTCGCTCCGGTGACAGAGAAGAGCAAACCCTCTGTCCCTGGCTTCCTCCTCGCCTTCTTCCCCTCTGCTGCTCCCAGCTTCCTTCTTGGTGTGCCCTGGAGCCTGGAGGGGCCTTCCCTCTGACCACCGTCACCTCCTCTTGTCCTTGCTGCTTCTCCAAGCTGCCATCGCTTCCTTGCTTTTCAAATCCCGAGGAAAATCAAACCAGGTTTTTTTGTTTTGTTTTAAGCAGGCCAAAAGTTGAAATTGATTTCCGAAGAGTTTATATCATCCCGAAATTTGGGGGGTAAAAAAAAATCAGGCTTCATTCAAAAGAAAGCCCAATTTCTACTCCGTGCCGGTTTCACTACCTCTCCCTGAGACGTGGGAAACGAGAGAAATCCTAAACATGTCTGTGTTTTACAGGTTGGCCCCCTCCTTCACTTTGGGAAAGCCTGTCTCAGGTCCCCCACAGGGAGCTGGGGGATGTAGGCAAATGCAAGCGCTTGTGGTGGGTCTCCCGGTCACAGCCTCCCTCCTGGAGAATGTCAGCCTTGCCCCTGGAAACAGCGGCCGAGGGGTTGAGCGAGCACTGGGGTTGAAGGCCCTGCCACTGCCTCTTGTGCAAAGCAGTCCTGGCTGGGCACGTCCAGGGCTCCTCAAGATGAATGTGGGAATCCTGAGCAGATGTTCAGGGTCTTACAGAGACACTAAGATATCACATTCCATCCAGGTGGACAGGACTGTCCCTAACTCAGGGCCTCTGAGTGGGTAGGAGATGGGCGGAAGGGGCTGTAAGTATGTGGACTTGAGGAAGGGCTTGGGACTTTAGGGGGGAACTGCCATGACCTGGTGCAAGGTGCACGTCCTCCTGTCCCGGAGCACCTGTCTCCACCCGGGGGTACGGCCTCCCTGCTGGTCTCCAAGGGTCCTTCCAGCCCCACGGCCCCGTCTTTGCCTGGGGTGAGCTTCTGGGAGCCAGCGTCAGCTTCCCTAAGCAGAGACTGCCCGAGGGCTGCTCGGAAGGAAGCCCTGCAGAGGGGCGCGGTGCTGTGGGGAAGTGGTGTCCTCAGCCCGGCGACAGCCGCGTGCATCTGTGCGAGCAGGTGATCATTCTATTACCTTTTATCGGTAGTAAGCGTGGGAAAATAATTTAAGTACACAGTGCAGAACTGTAAATACGTTTCTATATACATTTGTTGAAGATGAACTGAATTATTTAAAGGTCCATTTATATGTGCTTTTATGGAACAGGTAGTTTAATAAAGTCCCTGTTTATGGGAGTTGTGTTTTATCTTGGCCTCTTTTATGGATGTGTCCGCACCGTCCTGCTGGAAGGGTGTTTAATTTCCTGCCTAGAAATAAGGCGGGAAATTAAATTAAAGGAAGCACAGAAGGGCTGGGATGTAACAGTCATGTCCTCCAAAGAGCCAAAATGGGGCTGTTGGCAGTGTGTCCTCTTGGTAGTAGTGGACGGGATATACACAGGGAGCGGGTGTGGAGCGGGCTTCACCCCAGACCCGTAGAGGTGCAGGCACACGTCTGGTGCCCGGGCCAGCGGTGGAGCCTTCGTGCCTTCTACAGGCTCATGGCAGTCCAGGTTGGGCCGGTTTTGTGTAATCTCCAAGGGGCCAGCAAGTCTGGATCTGCTTCCGCATCTAGTCTCACCTGCTGGCTCAGGACCCATTGGGAAACCGTGGCTCACCTTCGTGGCTGGCTCGGGAGTGAGCAGAGGGGGAGCGACATCGCCGCGTTTGGAATGTGTTGTGGTGTTCACAGAGAGACGCGTCCTGCGTGAGATGCATTCCTCGAACCCCTGTTTTCACACCGCAGTGTGGCTCTAACCGCAGTCCTCCTCCCATCAGGGAAATGTGCACAATCCTCCCCTACCTCCTCCCATCTGGGAATGATGACATGTTGTAAGTGTTGTCGTCGGGGTTTACACAGTCCCCTATACCTTTCTCCCTGCTATGACATGCCCCCCCAATGCACACACATATCAGAGTTCTTATTTTCCTGGTGGGTCCTAAGGAAGTTCCATTTACCCCTTTATTGGCTTTTGCAAGGAACTGAGTTTCAGTCCTCTTCCCAAAACTAGACATTGAAATTAGGCAGTCACTGTCTGCTGTTGTTCTTTCAATGTTCAGCATATCTGTGTTAGGGCAGGAAGCTCTAGAATAAATTCCTCAATAGAACAGTTAATGTGCTTTCTGAGGTGTGCAAATCCATGCATGTCGGACTCCAAATGTGCACAAGCCTCCCCTACCTCCTCCCATCTGGGAATGATGACATGTAAGTGTTGTCGTCGGGGTTTACAAGGGAAAAGGTTTAATACAGGACACATAACTTACAGGATTATTGTACAGTAGTCACTCCAGCCCTTCGTTATTACTTTATATGCCAGCTCTGACCAAAAAAGAAAACCCTCTTTTTCCTTTTCTTTCCATTTTTTTGTATGTGTCCCCAAATAAAGCACCAAAAATATAAACAAAATTTAGGTAAAGGGTATGGTATCGGGTCACTTGGTGCTTCTTGAAATTGCTTGGTCTCTGAACACAGTGGGTCTGCAGTCATCGTACTGAGGACCCAGCCCTAACAACTCGTAGATCAGGTGGGGTTGAGATCAGAGCATCCTCTCCCTGGGGGCTTCTGCATCTGCCAGTAGCTCCCAGCTGGGATGAGTATCCCTGGCTGCATTGCCTCTGTGAAGACAAAGATAACATTCTTGCAGTTGAAAAAGTTGCTTTCCTGTCTTCCGGGCCAGAGCCCTGCAGTGGGGCTTTGGACTTCCTGGTTGGTGGGAAGGACACCTGGACTCCACTGAAGAGGGCTCCTGCCACAGAAGCACTCAGTCTGCCCCTTTGTGCACCCTTTGCCAGCCCTAGGAGCCTGGCATACCCTGTTGCAGGCTGTGGAGTGAAGCTGCCCAAGGCCTTCCATGAGGATGTCCTTTTCAGGTCCCCATTTCTAAGTTCATGTCAGGTGCCTGGAATCAGGTCTGGAATGTGTCCAGCCTCCACAGGAACATTAAAGAGCTGCATCTGACAGGTAGTCCCCAAGGCAAAGCAGAGGATGTCCCCTGAGCTGGTGCAACTTGAGGTCAGGACACACATTTCCTCAGCCACCGTGCCAAGTCTTATAGGACAGTTTCCCAGGACTGCCCAACAGAAACCTGTTTGACCCTTCTGCAGTGGTCTTGAATGTTGGAATTCCTGTGTTGGAATCCTAACTCCCAGGCCTGTAGAAATGCTTCTTCCCTTGCAACTGTGCGAAGGTGCGGCAAAGAACCAGGAAGGAAGCCTTCACCAGACACAAGCCTCCCGGCACCTTGATCTTACTTTCCAGCCCCCAGACCGAGAAATAAACTTCTGCTCTTTATAAACCACTCAGTCTACGGTATTATGGTATAGCAGTCTTAATGGACCAAGACACCGGCTCCTGGGGTGCTGTTTCTTTTCTACAAGAGAGAGTGCAGCTTACAGAAATTTTGCTGGGGACATGCGAGGCATGCCAGGAACATTTCTCCCCCTTCTTCTGACATCAAGTAGAGGCAAAGGTATTACAAGTGCGGGGCACCAGTGAACCACCTCTCCATTCCTGAGGCCAGTCTCTCTGCCCCAGTGTAACAGAGGTCCATCTCCTTGGCGAACCCCAGGAAAGGCGGGCCATTGCGTGGCTGTGACCTCCATGCATCTGATCTCCCTGATGCAGAGCACCTGGCCCAGCACTCACGTGCGTGCCCTCGGCTTTCTATTTTCCTGGAGGGACTCTGGACTCAGCCCTTCGCCTTCTGGGCCACCAATGAGAAGTGGGCAGAGGTTGTGCAAACACCGCCCGTGTGGCCAGGGCCAAGGTCTCACGAGCCACAGACAGCTGGCAGCTGGGCACTTTGGCAGGCAGGATGTGGGCTGCAGGCAGCCTGCAGTGCTGAGGCCTTGCATGGCATCATCAGGGCACCCAGAGGCACCCACTGCGTACAGTGCTCCCCTGGGCAACAGAACCAGCCAGGGTTGGTGCCTCCTGGACTCACCTGAGGCTGAGTAAGTCAGACTCTCACTGGCCCCAACACTGACATTTTAAGAAACTTCCTAGTGATTTACTTTCAGCCTGCAGTGATTTTTTTCATCTCACTGGGCTGGAGAGAGGCCGGAGGGCTGACCAGTAAAAGGTCCAGGACTCAGACCTGGGGCTCAAGAGCAATTTCCAGGCTAGGTCCCTCTCAGGGCCTGTGCAGCAAAGGAGCTGCATCTCTCCCTGAGCAGGCAGTGCAGAGGCATTTGCTCTGAGCTCAGCACCTGACCCAGCTCAGGCTGCTTCAGCGGGGCTGAGACACTCGCCTCATTTGGATCTTAAGAGAGAAGACCTCCAGCCCCATGCCTGGCCACTCCTTGCATCTGGAACTTTCGCAGTGCAGACTACAGCTCCCATAGGATGGCTCAGGGGCACAGAAGCAGCGACACTT